TAAAAAATAATGATAAAGAAAATACATGTCATATGACATTATGCAAAATAAATTTACACATGTTAATTTCTCAATAAATCATTTATTAGATCAACTTTATATTATAAACCACAATCTATTACTCAGTAAAATTATTCTATTTTACATTTTGCCACATATATATTTTAGAATTAAAAATGACTTATAATGATATCTGAATTACACCTCTTTTAATCTAATAGTTTTAATTTTTACTCACATCTTTGTTAATTTCATTATAAAGATATTAATATTATTACTTAACTTATTACTATATTTAAATTTTTAAAATTTTCATGAATATCTATTCTTGCATTTATAAAAATTATGTTAATTTTTTTTCTTTTTTTAATTTAAAGTTTGCTTTTAAGAATCTTATTTCCTAAATTTATAGTTAGTATTATATATTAATTATTTACATTTAATTCAAATTTTTTGACACTATATGATAAAAATATTGTTGTAAAATAAATTATATTTTAAAACTATTTAATTTTATTAAATCTTTATCATGTATACATTCTCTTTGTAGTTATAGAGATAAGTTCAAAAAATTATTGTTAATAACAATTTTATTATATATAATTATTTATAAAAATATAAAATTTTGTTCTAAAATAAAATAGATGTACATTGCATGAGTTATTAAAATAATTATCTAAACCCATCAATTTTTGTGACTATTATAGAATTTTTCATAAAATTATTCAATATAAATAAATTAGGATGATTAAATTTCATTAAAAGATTGTATAGTGAATTACATTCCGTAATTATAAAAACTCAAGATCTAAAAAGTCCAAGACTGAAAGTACAAAGGAAGAAGCGGTCATTATTCTTTGTATTTAATGAAAAAAAAAACATATAATTCTAAATAACTTTTAAGAAAAAAAAGGCATATCTTCTTATAAATATATATTTTATTTTTAACTTGTGTCTAAATATGTGTTAAAAAATTAATAAATAATAATATTAAATTAATTTCATAATGATTTGAATTAATATTTATTATCTTATTGTAGTTAATAGATATAATTCTCGATGATTTATTTTTGAAATATATTATAAGTCTTGCCCGACTTTTAGAATTATATTGTTTTTTAGGTACATACATTTTGATAGAGAAGAAAAGATAAGAAAGGAAAAAAAAAAGGGTAGTAAATTCAAATGATAATATGAAAGAAAGAGTAAAAAAGGGAGATCAAATTTTAAAATTATTTAAAAATAAATAAAATAATAATAAATTAAGAATTAATAATGTTGACGATGTAAAAACTAACAATGATATAATTAAAAATCATGTTAAATGGTAAAATTAAAATTCACGTGACAAAAATAAAAATTAATAAGGCAGAATTGCTTGGATAAATTATTTTCTATATACTCAAGATTTGATTAATGATTTTGGAAACTCATGTGACGTATTTGAGAAATTGTTAATGTAAGATTATTTTGTATCACACTCCTAATCAAGGAATATGTATAAGTATTTATAATATTGGGTAAGATAAAATCTCTAGATATGAATAAATACATGATAAGTACCCATACAATATATATTAGCTCTTACAACTTCATCTCTATATTCTGCGAAGATTCTCATATCCTTCTTGAATAAGGAAAAAGACACAAGTGGCGTAGCAAAAATGTGGTCCACTATTTATTGAAACTTTGAAACACCGAACAAACGAAGGCCAAGCATCAAACCAAAATTATGTGTTATCAGGCAATTTGTCACCGTTACACACATTCCGAAACAGCACCAGTTAGATCCCGCGCCACGTGGCGTAAAATTGTTATTTAAAATGTTTTTGCATAAATATAAAATTATCTTTTTAGCTGATCATCAACAAGAAATTTTTTTATTTTAAATTTATAAGTATCAAAATTAATAAAAAATTAAAAAAAATTAGAGCATTTCAGGATCTTAAAACATATTTTGTCCAAAAATAATTTAGAAAACATTCAACCTTATTGCTTTTAAGAACGACTCATTCTCCTTCTATATATGTTTTAGAGTGGTTTTGAATCTTCTTAAGTTAGATCAGATCCTTATATAAAAAGTTAAAATTGATTTTCTTGTAAGATATATTATTAGATTCATGCTATGATATATAAAATGCATGTGGTATATGAAGTTACAACTAATTAAGAGTGGCAAGTAGGTTAGTATCGTTTAACTAAAGTCTTGAATTTAATATTTGTATATGAAAAAAAATTTAATAGTAAACACATTTACCACGTCAAGATGTGAAATTCGAGTCAAATTTAAATTAAATTAGATTAAAAAAATGTGTGATAAATCACTCCCTTTGCCAGTGTTACAACACACGAAATATTTATGTTGCAACGAGTCAATGCTATTCAAAATTTTGTCTTCCAGTTATATGCCATGGCCGCCACATGAGCTTGCTCTTAAACATTTTTTTTCTTGATTTTTTTTTTTTTTTTTTACTTTTCTTTAATTTTCTCTTAATCTTTTGGATTTCTCTAGGGGATTTCTAGGTTTCTTGCACATGATACACAGCTTTAAAATTTCTCTTCATCTTTCTAAGGTTTACTTTAGTGTGTAAAAAGCCAAAGAACTATTCAATTTTCAACCAAATATCAAGAATATAAATTTTTCTCATATTCTTTCCATTAAATTGTAAAACTAATTGGAAGAAGTTAAGATAGTGAATAAAAATTGTTTTGAAGAAAAAATCAAAACTCAAAATCTTTAAATTTAAAAAAAAAGTTATAAATAGAATGGAAGTGTCATTAGACGAAGAAAAGAGACAAAAAAGAAAGTGAGATGAAGAAAGATGGAGAGAGTGAGGAAAGAAAAAATTAATCTATTTATAAAACGTGCTTCTTAAAGTCAATTAATAATTGCAATTTATTTTAAGGAATTAAAAAAAAACGAACACTACAGTTGACAAGGAGAGATCTAACTAAGAATTCTAAATTATAAAGTAGAACAACTTTTTTATATTAATTCTTCTTTGATTTTTCTTTATTTCTTTTTTAGTCTTTATTTTTTTATAAACTAATAATCCAATCATATGATAACTTATACAAAAATAAGGAATAATAATTTTTTTAATTATATTTTTTTCTTACTTTTTACATATTAATGGATTAGAAACAAAATAAATCTTGCAATAAGTCATCAACGATAAAAGAATACAATCTTTCAATAAATTTTTCTTTTTATTTGTCCTTATTAACCCACATATTAATTAGGCTATATCAACTCTAAGAACCACATCCTACTTTCTACTACTCTTCTACCAAATTAAAACCAGATCTACTTGTATCGTCTTAAATGATGTTTCTCCAATGCCCAAATATAAATTAACTATGATACGACTTGTTTAACATTAGATAGTATACAATAAAACGATGGCATAGAATTTAATGTGGTTTCGAAAGTCATATGTTTACTTCTTTGATATGGGACATAAATCAAAGCAAGAGTAACCATGGAACAAATAACCTAATACGTACCCAGCTCAAACCCCGTTTGTACATCATGTCCTATACTCAGAGAACATCATTTGTACTTTTTTTGTCTCACAACACAATTAAGTCATTCTGATTTTGATTGTGTATATGTTCTATAGATGGTAAAAATTAGGTCTTCCTTTCGATTTAGTAAAAAGAAGGATTTTATCTTCTTTTATTTGCTTAAAACACTGTATTCCCTAAAAATGGTGCTTTGTATATGGATTTAGGTATCTCTTATATTCATAATATTTTTACATGCTGAAAAAAAAATTATAATTAATTAAGTCATTGGTTTTCATTTGTTTCTCTTTTGTATCAAAGTGTACTTTGATTTCAAGGCTAGCTCCCTAGTTTTTTAGTTTCCAAAATCCTAACATATTTTTCTAATATCTTCAAGGCTTAGATAAATTTTTTTTATATATGATAATCAATGTTTATTTTTTAAAATAAGTTTCGATTTAACTTTTATTGGATTTTAGTTTTTAAAAACTACAAAACCTTGCATTTTTGTCCCGATCAAAAGTGCATGGCTTTATAATTTTAAGGTCTAAAAGCAAATGGAGGGGGTACTAAGTGCATGGCTTTGTAATTTTTAATGAAATTTAAATAAAGAATAAAATAAAAGAATGATAATTTTAAGAACTAACATATTTAAACATTTGTTTGGAAGGATTTATGTAAAACAACTTACGACTTTTATAATTTGTTTTTAACTTATTTAATACATTTTTAAATATAAGTTATCGCAATAAGTTGTTTTCACTTTTTTTAATAAGGTTCATTGTAATTTTATGATATAAATGACCATTTTAAATAGTGTTTGTTAAATAAGTAATTAAAAGCAGCTATCTAAATGAACTCTAAGTCTTCTGTTTAATTTTGATTTCCTAAGTATTCAAGGACATAGTTACAAAGATATATAGCATAAATAAAACTGATATTTTATCAAGCTACACTAGTCAAGATTACAAAAGATAGTTCCCTATGCTTATATTATGTTTTCCAATATTTTCAACATTTTTCTTCGAGTTTTTCTTTAAAAAGAAAATACTAAAACAATTCTATAATTTTCACGTGTATCCAATGTCAATTTTTCGACTAAATTCCGTTATTAAATGTTTTAAATCATGTAGATTATGTTTGTGTGAATATAGATAATTTGGTTTGCATTCGAGACTAACATAACACATGTATGCTCAGCATGCATATTTATATAACCAAAACTAGTTAAAATCACGAGTAACCAAGAAAATTAAAGGAAACAATAATACTTATTTAAATCCAACGACATACAAAACATTAAGTATAATGACATAGTTCATGATATATAATAATAAAATAAACAATAGCAATTGAGATGAACTTTCAAACTTACTACATAACTAACACGAACCCTAACTTATTAGCCTTGCCTTGGAAATCAAAGCAAGATCAAGATTGATAATAAAACCTTAATATTTTCTCAACGAAGCAACACCATTTCAAGAAATTAATCACCAAGAAGATGTTCCTGCTGAAAAAGGTGAAGGTGATTCAGCAGTCACTTGGGACGTTTTCTGTTGTGACTTGTTACCCTTGTGAACATACTTTCTAGCCCAAACATGCTTCCCATTGATGGACAGCTTCACTTTACTTTTACTTTCAAGAAAATGATCAATAATGTTTATGGCCTCAAGGCGAATCACTACGCGAGCATACAATGATTGCTCCGGTGGAACCACAAATTGCATTTGTATTGTTTCAATGATATCTCCATATCTTCTGTAGGATAGTAAAAACAAAGTGAAAACAGAAAATAGAAGTGAACGAGAGAGAGAGAGAGAAATCCATAATTAAATTGTATTGCAATATAAAACTGATGATGAAATAACCACAGTACAATATTTTGACAAAAGCAAAAAATTCTTATATTATCTACACCAAGAGAAATAAGTGAAGTCAATCAAAACACAAGGTGGTAAAACATATAGATTTTGCATTAGTAGATTAATGTAGGATTAAATTCAATTTGCCCACTCCATGCGGTTTGGACCATTAACGTTGTGTCATCTGAGGTTTCAACCTTATTCTTTATCGTTTCTATTATTTCCATCAGTGCAAAGCCTTCTATATTAATTGTGTTAGTTACATTAAAGTAAACCTTTGTTCCATCACCACTGTATCCACTGACTCACGTTTCTCCTATTATCTTATTATTATGTCAAATCTAAAACTTGATTGGCTCGTTGATGTCGTATGTTATTGCTATAGTTGTATATTATCATAACTCTATTGAGTTTTGATTAATCACACATCAACTTTTCTTATTAAACAGATCAAACTAATGTGTCCTATTGTATGATGAAAATCAACAAATTGCTAGATTCCGTTTGGGTTTAATTAGGTAACACAATAGGAATTGTGCTAATCGAACCAACGATAGGGTTCAAAGTTAAAAAAAGAATTTGACCTAAACAAAAAAAAAAGGAAGTTGACACATACAGTGACACCAATTCAAAGTTTAAATTACAATAACTATAATTTAAAATTTTTATTAAATATATAATATTTATGATTTTTTTAATCATTAATATCGTTTATAACAGTGATATAATTATTAGTCATCTTTATAATTTATATTTAAATAATTTAATAAATAATATTAATGGATTTTTTTTATCTTTTTTTACAAACCACCACTAATATTAAATTTAACATTATATTTATGAGAAAATATATTCCTTCACTATTTTTTTTATTTATGAATTATGACTAAGGATAATATATATTTATATACTACTCAAGTTTCTTTATATTTTATATTTAAAATATTAAATATATAAGAAAAATTTTAAAAAATTATATAAATTATATAAGTTAATAAACATTATTAAACTATTTTAGTAATTTATTGACTACAATATTATAAGTTTAGTGCATAATTTTTAAACTTACATAAACTAAACATTTGATATCAAACTAAATAATTTAATAACATTAAAAATATTATTATACTGTAGACTACAAAATAAATCTATAAACATTTAAATATAGTAAAAATAGTTGAAACATATATTTATATGAAATATTATATAAAAGATAATAAAATAGTAGAATCAAATATTACAAAATGACGTAATGGTCAGTCTTTCCCAAAGCAACTGGCCCATGATTCAATTCTCACTTCAACTAATAAATTATTTAAATAAACAAAATAAATATTTTAGATGAACACATGATTTCTAAACTAAATAAAATAATTTTATACTAAAAATTTGACATTGTTATTGTGTTTTTAAAAAATAAAAATTATTAAACAATTTCTTAACATTTAAAATATGTCAGAAACTTATCACAGTAACAACTTTAATAGTTATTATAACGATTATTATCTTCACAATAAATACAATTTTTAAGAGAGACAAACCAAATTTAACCTTTAATTTTATATGATAAAATCATTGAATATAAGCAATTAGAGATATTAATGCGAGAATAAAAGCAATTAGATATATTACTGCGAGAATAAACAAGACATTTTGTTTTACCTTGAGAAGAATTCTCGAACTTCAGCCTCCGAAATAGGATATCCCTTAGAGAATGTCATAAAGATTGTCCTATCATTGGCAGGCACGTCCATTTTCTCATCACCAGTACTAGTAATTGTAGTGTGATTCAACATGGTCATAACCTCATCGTAAATTTGATTAAAATCATTTTGGTTTGAAACATCAAAAGTTTCTAGAGGTGGATTAATAGCACCACTCCAAGAGCTGGAACTTCCCTCACCCAGTTGTGGTGTTGTTACCAGAACTTGTTGGGGCACAATAGTAACACTAGGTGTTGGAACATAATACATCACTTGTTGCATTTGCATGTAAGGATCGGGCACAGCCCCATACATATTTTCAATTTGAAAGTTACGTTCGTTCATAGTGGCCCTCTCATGTTGCACTTGTTGCACTATGTCCGTGAAGGCCTTTACGCAAACATCGTTGAATAACTTGGTGACTGCACTAACGATATTCACACGCTTACTATGAAAGTATTTGAGGGGTTTGGTTTTGTCACGAATGAGGAATTGGATCAAGGGCAAGCCATTTTGATTAACATCATCATTATAGGGGAAATCAGAATTTTCAATGCATTCCAAGACCAAAGTCACCTCATCCACGAGATAATTAAGCTTGGTGTCAGGCCATTGGAGCAAGTTCTTAACAATTGTCATATTTTGGCTCAAATTTTCAAGCCACAAAATGAAGGCCATGACATGTGTGGATTCGCTCGTGTCACGACCTAGTCCCACGACTAAACGGATGAAGAGTTGACGATCGATGTTATGAAAGCTGAAGAACTCTTGTTTTGTAATTGTCACATTGGAACCTAAGCTTGAAGAAGGGACCAAGGAAGCCATTGTTAGACAATGAGGATGATGATGAATATGAAAATGATTACCTATTACATTTATAAGAGTATGTGCTATTTCAATATGAAGGGTGCCAATTTTTATATCTTTGGAATGTGATTAATGTGGACGGTAATATCTTACCATGTTTGAAACAATTAAGATGAATGTAATTTTTCTGCTTATGACAGTCACCACACTGAGAGTGTATTGTGAGCAATGTATTAATCTCTTTTTTTTTTTATTATTTATTTATTTTTATTTATTTCATTTAATGTGTTTACAGCTGTGTAATCTATTTAGGATGTGTTTGGTAAAAAAAAATTAGCTAATATAATTAAATTATTTAGTAAAATTAGTAGTTGCACTAGCAGATAAATATCAAATGAGAAATATGGGACATTATAATTTTAATCCAAAATTTAATAATTATACATTTTAAATAAAATTCTCATTTTACTGTTATTTGCAAATATTTTATAAAAAAAAATGAGACCATATGAATTAATTGAAATTATAATTTTGATAATTTTATATTATGAAAATAAGATTATAATTATTTTTGTTAGAGTGACAAAATTACTTTTATACAACACACTAATTACCTTGTTCACATATTTATTTGTATTATGTATTAACAATTATATTCTAATCATTCTTTTGGTTCAAATAAACCAAATATATTCTTTCATTAATTAATTTAATTTAAATACATAGAATATTGAAAGTTTTTTTCCATTTTATTATCTATTACTATTTTCATTTAATAATTTGTTTCCCAGTCAAAACTTCCATTTATGAATTTATTTGATAATATTAAGTGCTTCAATATTATTAATTGTCTTTCTTTCTCTCTGTATTTATATATATATATATATATATATATATATATATATATATATATATATATCTCGAAGATTTGTTTCAATTTTCTAGAAATATAGTTGTGGTAAAAATTCGAACAAAAATTTTTGTTGTCTGCATTCATTCGGTCTAACTCAATATGAATTGCTAAAATGTCCAATGTATTCAGATATTAATAATTTCAAATCAAAATCTAAAAAACAAACAAAGATTAAGTTAATTTTTTTAAAAATGATGGACGGACTATATATTTTGTTAAAGGAGCTTGCCACATACCTGCCTCTTGCCTTCTAATACGAAAAAATAATAAAATTTCAAAAACTATCTTATTTATTTTATAAATTTTCATGCCCAATTCATTAATTAAGAATGAATATATATTAGTCGGCATTAAATTTTCATGAAATAGCAAGGAAGGAAAAAGAGCAATACGCATAAACTTTTTAAGATATCTTTAGGACATGGACTTTAGAATAAAATAAATTAGTAACACTTTAAAAGGTTAATATTTTATAAATATTGTATAACTCTTTAAGTTAAAAATAAATAAAATATGTTCGTCCTCTCCTTTCATCCCTTTTAAAACTTGATTTCTAATCAAACCTCAAAATCCTGCATACAAGTAGAAATTGGTATGTGTGTGTAATAAAATATTTGAAAAAACTTATTAATTAGGATTAATTGTATTTATTTATTTTCTCTTTATGACATTCTAACAACCAAAGGCGCTCTACTAAAATAATTAAATATATAAAACTTTAAATTCCTATAATTTAATTATAATTTCTATATGAACAGATATAATAATTAATTTAAAAGTCATATTTATTATAATTTTAAATGACCATATTTTATATAGACTGGGTATCAAATAAAATTAATACTATAACAGTATTATATATATATATATATATATATATATATATGTATATATGCCCATAAAATATATGGAAATTTTTATTAATAAAACCCATTTGAAGTTATTACTACATAAAAATAATCATTATAAAAAAATAAATCTTGAAATATATATTAAAATGTGTTATTTATAAAAAAATTTAATATAAATAAATTCATTTAATATATTATAAATAAATTCATAAATATATACTATAATATATATCTTAACTTTTAGTTTAGTTATATATTAATTAATTTTATAAACATTTTTATAGTTAATTTTTATAATTCATAAATCATGTTTTGAAAGTAGAAAAAAGAAAAAAGAAAAATCATATACACATTCATATATTTTCAAAATTTCTTAAATTTTGCCAGATATTAAAAGCTTTATCCTAACATTCTTTGTTTATATAAATTTTATCTATGCATTTATTTATATTATTTGAATTTTATTCATTGTGAATAATTAAATAAAAATTGGCAATAAGTTGTGTGCATATCATTTGTATATTAAATCAACTAATTAATTCATGCCTTTTAAAATTAAGAAATGAACTAATAGGATTGAAAATTTAATTACCGTATTGTATATGTTATACTCAAATATATAATGAATTCAAAATTCTAATACTATAAAATTGAAGGTAAAATAAGTATTTTAGTTTTCTAAATTTTTTTTTAATTTACTCTCCTAATTCTTTTTTGTTTTATTTTGGTTCTGTAATTTTTTTAAATTTTGATTTAATCTTTTAAATTTTTTTATTTTAATTTGGTTTTTAATGAAATAGGAGGATGAGGGAAAGAGGAAAAAAGATGGTGGTGATAATATTGCCAAGATTAATTAAAAGAAAAAGAAAAATATTATAACTAATAGAGTTTAATATAACTAACGTTCAAACATATAAAGATTAAAGTAATAAAAAAGTTAAAATGTAATAAAAAAATAAAACTAAAAGACTAAAGTACTAACTTTACCAAATTTTGTGAAAAAAAATATTAGACCAAATGTAAGGAATTATGACACTTTTTATTATTTACTTAAAATTATATACATATATTCTTACTTTCTTTCTATCTATTGCATAACTACTATTTAGAAGAGGTAGAAGAATTCAAAGTAAAATTTCAATATCGTTGAATATTTTTTAGGATATAACTTGTTCAAAAAGTATATGTATTTAGTTTAGTTTATTTTTGTGCAAATAATTAATTATATATTAGATTTTAAAGAAAATTTTGAAAAACAAAACAAAACTTTATTTTCTAAAAGTTAAGGGAAAATAACCGCGTGTTATACTAGTCGAATGAATAAAGAGAACAATTAATTTTCAATATTTATCTAAGGTTAGAGACCACAAGACATTTTTAAACTCAAAGGTCTAAAACTAATCTCTATTTATAGTTCATAATTGTTGTTAAATTGAGAGAATTTACAAACAGTAGAATTTAAATACAAGAGTTCTTTATAAATAATTTGACCTTTCACGTATGAATGCAATAAAATCGTATATCATTGTATCAACCCTTTACATTGGATCAATAGACTTTATATGTCCTAGTAAGTTATTCAAATTTCAAAGTCTCTGTTAATTACAGATATATCTTCAGATAAAATTGTTTTAAATTACTTTTACGTGAGTTTTATTGCTATTCATTTGTAAATAAATTATTGATAAGTATCATATGTAATTATGAATGTATTAATCACTATTTTTTCATTTGAAATTTCTCAATTGTGACATCAAGAAAGAAAGATTTATTTTGCCACATTCATAGTTCAAAATATAAAATGTAAAACAAATATATTTTTCTAAAATTGTTTTAAATTGTTATGTATTTATTACTATTACTATGACTAATATAGATATATACTCCAATAACTAAACTTGTTACATATTTGTAATCATTATTATTCTTTATAAGTGCTTCATTGTCTGCGTATTAAACTCGCTCCACTTACATGTAATTCTTGTATACATATTGTGCTTAAAACAAGATGAATATGTATTAAAATAACGATGAAAAGTTATATAAATTTTTTATTGAAGTTTTTCATTGTCATTATGAGTTTTGATTGGTTGTTGCAAGAAACCTAACTTCTTAGATGAAATACAAGCAAGAAAAGTACAATAAGTTTAGAAGATTGAATTATGTTTTTAAAATATTTTCATTCAAAACTGTATTTAAAAATAGAAGTTTTACTTTAGATAACTTAAAAATAAAAATTTCAAATACCATTTTGTAAACAAATATTATGAAAAGTTGTTATAATCAAAACTTACAATTTATGCCCCTCAATAGAAAAATGTTAGCTGAATGTGAATGAGTTACAAGAACGAACTTGGGTAGGAAATAAAATATAAAAATTTTATTCTAAAGCATTATTCTAACTTAAATTACATTTCATCCTTAATTAGAAAAGCTCCAAAATTTTTACTGTATTAAATTTTTTTTCCAACACAATCTCTTTAAGCTTTTAGCGTAAGTAGTTTTTAATAGGCTTTTTTAGCCTCACTTACAATAGTAGTTTATAAAAACAAATAAAATAACGGGTTATTTCGTAAATCATAAAAATAGTATTTAATAAAGTTAGGTACAAAAAGATACTTTACACATTTTTCTATGAAAGATAAAAAAGAATTATAGAAATTAAATTGAAAGAGAGTTAGAAAATAAATGCTTAGAAAACTTTTAAAAAATAAATTTAAGCCACCTAACATTTATTATTATTGTTCTTTCACATTTAGAAATTACATCTTTCAAACAAGTTTCTAAAAGTCATTTAAATCTTCTAGTATTTAAAACTATCTTGATTACCAAAGACTCGCAACATTGGAGTCTATCACACAATTAGAGTAAAATGATGTTGGCCTTGTCTTATTGCACATGGAGAGCTGATTGTGCTTCTAATTTTTAGCATTTTAAGTGTTTTTTTCAATCTTTCTCGATTTAATTTCCTTGTTGATACAGTAGTTTAAGCCTAATATAGGTAATACTTTACTCAATCCTTGTCTCCTTCGTGACGATATATATTATCTAGATTACTTTGTGGAAACCTTAGAATTAGTCTTGAAATTGCGTAAGAATCTTCTAATAGCACTCATTTGATTAAGATGCACTCGAATCTAAACACTCATCAAAGGAAATTTGTCTTTTGAAGTCACCAAACATCTCATCAAATCACATTTGGAATGTGCTTTTACTTTTCAAAAGCATAAGAACATCCGTAGGACTACACATCA